AATGGAGTGGAGTCAACATTTATTTTCAGTTCTGTTTCCAAGCAATGGTTAAGTTCTCTATACCTTTCCAGAACAATTTATGACATCAAATACACACTGCATCCAAGTGCCTCTTTAGCCTGAAAGTGACATGCATGTAAGAACATCCAGCCTGCAATTAAGTTCGTTGTAAACAGCCTGAATTGTGTATTAAATTGGAGCATGTGGGTGTGGGAGGAATCCAACCGTAGACTCAGAGTACAGATGAGCTTTGCTTTACTGGAACTCATGTATGTTTCAAAGAAAGATGCTATTTGTTGCCTGTTGAAAGCCTGTTTCCTGGGAATAAATAAGGAGCAAAGACCAGACATAATATTTGTAGATTCACGGGAGCCATTTAAGAACATAAGAATATATCTGCTAATCATATTACATCCCCAACCAAGTACGCCACATAACCCCATATATCCTACAAGACGAGACGAAACAGTGGGTACACCTGGAGAAAGTCATAATCGAAAATACCCCCCCACCACAGCATATCCCATTACTCCCAAAGAAACTAAGGAAAATCCCCACAACACTAAACAGGTTCACAGAGAACATGTTTGAAGCATGGAAGGAAGAAGCAGGCAAACTGTCCCCAACCCCATCCCCACTAATCCCCTGGCACACCACCCATTATTCCACCACACAGCACAAAAACTCCAGATAAAAACCTGGCAAGCCAAAGGCTTATATCACCTAGCAGACTTCTACAAAAATAACAAACCCATATCAACACAAGAAATACAGGAGAAACTAGGGGACACCCAAATGCCATGGCTTAACACACCACCAATTACATGTCGTCTTAAACAATCCAGTAGTAAAACCTCCTCCTAACCTTCGAAAACCTCCTCCTAACAACAAGGGACATGGCAAAGGGATGATATCCACAACACAGTGGTACCTTGGGTTACAGACGCTTCAGGTTACAGACTCCACTAATCCAGAAATATTACCTTGGGTTAAGAACTTTACTTCAGGATGAGAACAGAAATTGTGTGCTGGCGGCGCAGCAGCAGCGGGAGGCCCCATTAGCTAAAGTGGTACCTCAGGTTAAGAACAGTTTCAGGTTAAGAACGGACCTCCAGAACGAATTAAGTTCCGAGGTACCACTGTATACAGAATACTGCTCCAAAATCCCACAACCCCCCTTGACATAATCAAAAAACAATGGGAGCATGACATAGGCTATGAGATTAACCCCACCCAATGGACCAGAATGTGGTCTAAACCTCCCTTTAAATCCATATCAGCGAAAAGAAAATAACTTACTCTGAAACTCACTTACAGATGGTACCTAATACCATGGAAACTAGTGCTAATACGCCCAGGAACCTCACCAAAACGCTGGAGAGGATGCATCTCCACAGGCACATACCTCCACATGTGGTGGGAATGTCCCAAAATACAACTCTTCTGGACAACAATCATACAAGAAATATTCAAAATAACTAAGCAAGTATTAGAAGTTACCCCAGAACTGACCCTACTAAACATCTTCCAATATAATAATGCCCACTCACATTAGAGAGCACATAATCCACCTATTCTCAGCAGCCAGAAGCACCATGTGTTTATATTTATACCCTGGTCAATATTACTTTTGTAATACAATTTGGTGTGGAAAACAAAAACAAAAAATATGAAGGGAGTGATGATAAGTGCTAAGGATATATATTTTAAGGGAGGCATACAGGAGCAAGGTCCATGAAGTGTGACACAAAACCATTCCAATCTGCACACAAGAACTTCCAAACAGGTGGGTGACAGGTGTAATCCAAGAAATAGGCTTTCCCTCTGTTCTTTTTTTCACGCAAAGGGCAATACATTTTCTCTGATGATGCCTCTCCTTAAGATGCACGTAACCTAAGAAATGAAGAAGAATTGACTTTATTCTTCTGCACACTTATGCCTATCCCTGTTTGCTTTCAAGCTTTTAGTGATACTGGCTCAAACAAGGAGATTTCAGAATTCGCAGTGCATTGTGCGATAATAATAATAATAATAATAATAATAATAATAATAATAATAATAATTTATTTATACCCTGCCCATCTGGATGGGTTTCCCCAGCCACTCTGGGCGGCTTCTAACAAAATATTAAAATACAGTAGTCCTTCAGCTCCCGTCGCTTGGTCCCTGCTCCTGCCAACCTAGCAGTTCGAAAGCATGTCAAAGTGCAAGTAGATAAATAGGTACCGCTCCAGCGGGAAGGTAAACGGCATTTCCGTGCGCTGCTCTGGTTTGCCAGAAGCGGCTTAGTCATGCTGGCCACATGACCTGGAAGCTGTACGCCGGCTCCCTCGGCCAGTAAAGCGAGATGAGTGCCACAATCCCAGAGTCATCCGCAACTGGATCTAATAGTCAGGGGTCCCTTTACCTTTACCTAAATAGAATACAGTGAAGGGACCTATCAATAAACAGGAAGATCCAAAGTGTAGATGCTGCCATACCAGCAAGTGTGGAATGAGTATTACTTGGCATCTGTAATAATCCCAGTTCTGCAGATCTAAGTGGTCAAGTGGGCACATATGGGATAAGGCAATCTTGCAGGTAAACTGGTTGCTTTGCGTGCTAATAGCAACACCTTGGACCTGGCTTGCTGGCCTCAGCAACCAGTGCAGGTCTCTGAGCAGAGAAGTTATATGCAGACAGGGTCTTCCTCCTATCAGCAACCATTCTGCAGCATTCTGCACTAACGGCAGCTTCCAAATCAATCACAAATGAAACACCACAAAGAGAGTACTTCAGTAAACTACTTCATTATGACAGAAAGGTGGGAGATATATATTAAACTCTGCTAAATCAAACTAAGCTATTAAAAACAAACCATGTGGAATGCCTTCAATTTGGGGTTCTACCCCCCCCCCAAGTTGTCTGGTGAGCTGTTTGCTCCACTTACCTGATAGCAGGGGCTGGAGAGCATGGAGGGTGAAGATCACCCTCTGCACGTCCCACCACCTGGCGCACCAGTGCTCTCCCATCGGGGGGGGGGGGGGCTGGACGAGCAAGCTCCACCCCAGCCCGGGGTATGTGTGCCTCTGCCACCTTCCATAATGGGAACAAGGCTTTTCACCTCTTCTGTGGTTTCCAGGGGGAAACCATGACTCTTTAAAGTGGCGTGATAGTGCTTTAAATTTATACTGCAGGGGGGGCTGTCATCTCTAGCCAAGGTGTGAACACATTTACAGTAATAAGGTTAAAGCAGAGTTACAGTTGTACACCATGGAATAAGAAGATTGTGAGTCGAGGCCCTGCCCCCGCTTGGAGATAAAATAAGACACATGGACACAAATATTTTAGGTTAACGGGCTAAAAAGGCCACAACATTATTGCTTAAGAATGTGAGTGCTAATGGCTTAGGCATTGGATTGAACAGACTACAGTGGTACCTCGGGTTAAGTACTTAATTCGTTCCGGAGGTCTGTGCTTAACCTGAAACTATTCTTAACCTGAAGCACCACTTTAGCTAATGGGGCTGCCGCACCGCTGCAGCCGCACCGCCGGAGCATAATTTCTGTCCTGAAGCAAAGTTCTTAACCTGAACACTATTTCTGGGTTAGCAGAGGCTGTAACCTGAAGCGTATGTAACCCGAGGTACCACTGTACAAGATTTAAAACCATGTTGGAATCTGCTACCTATTTACCGTAACCCAAGGTACCACTGTATACTTGACTCCTGTCCACTCTGCCGGGAATCACACAAGGGTTAACAACCTGTAGGGGAAGCTTGTTGGTGCAAATCAACTGGAAGCTTTCCCACAGAGCAGGGGTGGCCAACTCCCAAAAGACTGCGATCTTCTCACAGACTTAAAACTGGCAGTGTTGAGCTTTTTTTAGGGAGAAGGAAAGCCCTGTTTTTTAGGGGTGCAGGGCAATCTTGTTGAGCTCTTTTTGGGGGAGCCAAAGTTGTTGAGCTTCTTTGGGGGGGAAGCCAGTGATCTACCGGTGATCTACCACAGGCGTCCAGTGATCTACCGGTAGATCTACCTGTTGGACGTGCCTGCCCTAGAGTCACTGGGTAGTCGTGCCATGGCCCTAGCCACCAGCAGGGCATCGAACAGGAACCACGACCACCGGATTCCTTTAATGGAATTCCCTTCAAGGGGAGGGGTAGGTGATGGCCACAACCCCCCCTCCGGCACGCAACGCATCCTGGGGAGAAAACAGTAAAGACCTGATGAAGAGAGCACAGCAGAGGTTATATTTTCTGAGAATCCTCCGGAAAAATAATGTCTCAAAGGACTTGTTGATGACATTTTACCATTGTACTGTGGAGAGTGTATTAACTTATGGTCTGTGTGTGTGGTTTGGGAGCTGCACGGTCACGGGAAAAACAATGCTGTCCAGGGTTGTAAAGACTGCAGAGAGAACAATTGGGTGCACTCTTCCCACCTTGGATCAAATCTATGCTTCCAGGTGCCATAAGAAAGCTGCAGAGATAGCGCAGGATAGTGCGCACCCCGGAAATGATCTCTTTCAGCTTCTGCCTTCTGGAAGAAGGTACAGGGTTATAAAGACTAGGACTAGCCGCCTGAGAAACAGTTTCTATCCAAATGCGATTTTGGTTTTAAACGCAGTGTAAGGTAGTCTCTGTGGGAGTATATTGTATTTAATTATGGGGTGTCAGAGTTTTTAGGGGGCTAACCAGGCTGGGATAGCTGGGATAGCAGGCTTATTGGTTTTGAATGTCTGATGTAGATTTTTTCAATTTTGCTTGTTTTATATGGGACAATGACAATAAAGATTATCGTATTGTATCCTGTTCTTACAATGGCCAGCCAAATATCTCAGTGGGAAACCTGCAAGCAGGCATGAGCACAAGAGCACTCTCCCCCTCAATGGCTTCCAACACCTGGTACTGTATTCAGAAGCATTACTGCCTCTGACAAATGGAGGCAGAACACAGCCATCATGGCTTGTGGCCAAGGATAGCCTTATCTTCCATAAATTTGTTCAATCCTCCTTTTAAGCCATCCAAGTTGGTGGTCATCACTGCCTACAGTGCGAGTGAGTTGCACAGTTTACCTAGGAGCTGTGCAAAGAAGTGCTTTCTTTTACCCATCCCGAATCTCCAATATCCAACTTCACCTGATGTCCATAAGTTCTAGTGCAGTGTTTCCCAACCTTGTGCCTCCAGCTGTTTTTGAACTACAACTCCCATCATCCCTGACTAGCAAGACCAGTGGCAAGGGATGATGGGAATTGTAGTCCAAAAACAGCTGGAGGCCCAAGGTTGGGAAACACTGTCTAGTGTATTGAGAGAAGAGGAAAACTTCTCCGTCAACTTTCTCTGTGTCATTTATAATTTTATAAACTTCTATCATGTCACTACTTGCCTTTTCTCTAAAGGAAAAGGTCCCAAATGCTGCAACCTTTCCTCACAGGAGAGTCAATTTGGTTGCCCCCTTCTGAATCTTTTCCAACTCTACAATAACGTTTTTTATACATTTTTATTGGTTTTTTTAACATATCGTTTCCAACAATCATTTAACTTCTTATCTTATACAATATTTTAGACTTCTGCTAACCACTTCTGAAGATTTTCCGTTCTTTATCACTTGTTCTGCATTTCTTAATTTCTCTGTCACTTTTAATTATCCTTAACCAATAATTCTCCACATAGTCTTTCTTGCAATATTTCAAATAGTCCTCCTTACAGAACTTCTTGCAGTCCTACTAGCATAATCTGTTTATTAGAATTGCTTTTCAAATAGTTCAGATATTTACTCCAGTCTTCTAAGAATCTCTGGTCCCGCAGATTTCGAATCCTTCCTGTTAATTGGTCTAATTCTGCATAGTCCATTAATTTCATTTGCCATTCTTCTTTCATCAGTAATTCTTCTTGCTTCCATTTTTGTACCATATAATAATGTTTTTGAGGCAAGGTAACCACAACTGTACACAGTACTCCAAATGTTGTCGCAGCATAGATTTGTATAAAGCCAAGTGGAACCAGTGAGCAATGGTACAGAAGGCTACTGAGCCCGATTATTATATTCTGCCTTCACAGTCAGAAGCAGTAATGCTCCTGAATGCCAGTTGCTGGAACCCACAACAGGGAAAAATGTGCTTAGTACTACAGTGATACCTCGCAAGACGAATGCCTCGCAAGACGGAAAACTCGCTAGACGAAAGGGTTTATTGTTTTTTGAGCTGCTTTGCAAGACGATTTTCCCTATGGGCTTGCTTCGCAAGACGGAAACGTCTTGCAAGTTTGTTTCCTTTTTCTTAACACCGTTAATACAGTTGCGACTTGACTTCGAGGAGCAACTCATAGAATGCGGTGTGGTAGCCTTTTTTGAGGTTTTTGAAGACTTTGGTGATTTTTGAAGCTTTTCCAAAACTTTCCCGACACCGTGCTTCGCAAAACGAAAAAAATCGCAAGACGACAAAACTCGCGGAACAAATTAATTTCGTCTTGCGAGGCACCACTGTATTCTCACCTGTCACTCCCAGCAACTGGTATTCCCTGTTTAAGGAAGCTTTTAATATTTAATAAATTATTGTATTTTAATATTTTGTTGGAAGCCACAAAAAGTGGCTGGGTAAACCCAGCCAGATGGGTGGTGTATAAATAAATTATTATTATTATTATTATTATTATTATTATTATTATTATTATTATTATTATTATTATTTCTTGTTATGTAGGGCCCATCAGGGTACTTGTTAAAAACCTGTATTTTAAACATGATTTTGTTGATGCTCTTCTACACAGAACCCTTCAGCGCTTTCTGTAGGCCTTCTTGTGAAGGATGTCATTTTTTCAGGATTGGATGCCCGTTCAAGGTAATGCTGCCATCCAGATGCTTTAATGGAATGTTTCAGGTTTGGTTGCAATCACCCAATTGTAGATTTGTATAACATTTGCGTAGGCTAATTTATATAGCCGTACATTTAGATGTCATGACTAAATAAAAATGCAGTGCAGCTCCCTCTAGTGGGGAAGGCTGTGACCAGGTGACGCGCATGCCTGCCCAGTCCCTACCACTGCCCAGGTGCTCATTGCAATTGTTCAGCTCCAGTGCCCCCTTTCTGCTCCCCCTTTGTAGGGTTCTTTATCTTTAAACTGGACTTGAACTGGAGACCTTTCAAACAGGGGGCTGTACACTGTGGGTTGGTGGAGCTGAACTTGAAAGTGGTCAAGGTCAGAGCCAAAAATTAGTGGGCACCCCTTCCCCCCTGTCTTTGACACCCCCTTCTCTTTCTCCAACATGCCAAAGAAGTATGTCTTTTTTAGGCAAAGTAGTGGCCAAGGGACGCGGGTGGCGCTGTGGGTTAAACCACAGAGCCTAGGACTTGCTGATCAGAAGGTTGGTGGTTCGAATCCCCGCAACGGGGTGAGCTCCCATTGCTCGGTCCCTGCTCCTGCCCACCTAGCAGTTCAAAAGCACAAAATGCAAGTAGATAAATAGGTATCGCTCCAGTGGGAAGGTAAACGGCATTTTCTTGTGCTGCTCTGGTTCTCCAGAAGCGGCTTAGTCATGCTGGCCACATGAGCTGTACGCCGGCTCCCTCGGCCAGTAAAGCGAGATGAGCGCCGCAACCCCAGAGTCAGTCACGACTGGACCACGACTGGTCAGGGGTCCCTTTACCCTTTACCTAGTGGCCAAGTACACTTCTTTCAGTGAAGGAAATTTATTTATGCAGCTGAACTCTCCTGAAGGAGTAAGCTGGTTGGGAAGTAAACCTTAACTTTCTCCCTTCCTGTGGGAGATTACTCCAACATTGTCACTGTCCACGGCTCAGGCTGAATGCTGGAGGAGAGCAAAGCTCCAATGTTGTTTCAGCAACAGTCAACCTTAGAAGCAAGCAGTTCTGCCTCAATTGTATACTCTGCTTTTGCTGAAAGGTGCCTTTTCAGTTAAAGAGCATCTCTGCTGCAACAGTCTTTGATGTAGCTTAGGAGACTATGGTTGTATTGGACCTTCTGTGATGGGAGTCCTCTGAGTCGGACGACTCCGGCACCATGGTCTCATCCTGCAGACTTTTCTCTAGGACTGGCCCTGTGTGCAGTTCTCTTCTGACTCCAGAGTCCTAAAACTCATTCTTAAGAGAAGGGAAATTGACTTCAGTCCAGTGTCACGACAACCAAGCCTTCTTACAAAGAAGCTGCAACTTCAATTGGGGAGGCAGTCTGAAGAAATGATCAGAGCTAGAGGGGTGAGAAATTTGATTCAATTTGCATATAAAGGCAAAATTATCTAATTTATACTCATTGAAACAATCCATGAACTGGTTCTCTGTACTCCTCTGAATTTTGCAATTCACTTCTCCAGCCAAGTCATGCATACGGCAGAAAGTACAAAATATATACATTAGTACAAAACTGCATCAGATTATGGGAAATTGCTGGCAAAAATCTGTATGTTAGGATAAATTTGCATTAAAATTCTGACAAATCTTTGCAAGGCTTTTTTTCTTTTTAAAGATCATTGAAAATATGACGCAGGAAACTGGTAAATTGAACCTAAGATTGGTAAAATGAGAGGCTGTGAAAAACAAACATGGACAGATTTGTCCATCCCTAAGTGCTCTTGGGCTCCATGATCACTGCAGATGGTGACAGCAGCCACAAAATTAAAAGACGCCTGCTTCTTGGGAGAAGGGCAATGACAGGCCTAGACAGCATCTTGAGAAGTAGAGACGTCACCTTGCCAACAAAGGTCCGTATAGTTAAAGCCATGGTTTTCCCAGTAGTGATGTATGGAAGTGAGAGCTGGACCATAAAGAAGGCTGATCGCCGAAGAATTGATGCCTTTTGAATTATGGTGCTGGAGAAGACTCTTGAGAGTCCCACGGACTGCAAGAAGATCAAATGCATCCATTCTTAAGGAAATCAGCCCTGAGTGCTCACTGGAAGGACAGATCGTGAAGCTGAGGCTCCAGTACTTTGGCCACCTCATGAGAAGAGAAGACTCCCTGGAGAAGACACTGATGCTGGGAAAGATGGAGGGAACAAGGAGAAGGGGGCGACAGAGGACGAGATGGTTGGATAGTGTTTTTGAGGTTACCAGCATGAGTTTGACCAAACTGCGGGAAGTAGTGGAGGACAGAGGTGCCTGGCGTGCTCTGGTCCTGGGGTCACGAAGAGTCGGACACGACTAAACGACTAAACAACAACAACAACAACAAGCGCTCTTGGGCCCTGCCAGTGTTGTGTGGCCTTGGCAGCTGCCCTAGCAGGCTGGATGCTGGTTCCAGGTCTAATCAGCTGTGTGATTTCATCATTGTGGCCTTGTCATGATGGTGTTGATGGTGCCCTGTTCCTTCCCAACAGGGGAATGCAGAAGATAGGAAAGAGTACGAGAAGTATACTGAGGGGACACACTTGATGATATTGCTCCAGCATGTGAAACAGCTGAAGGCAAGCTTGCACCCTTCCTACTGCACACTTGATACGCACTTGATTGATTGATTCCAATGTTCTGATGAGGTTCTTCTTGAGCATGAAACTGCAGGGGGCTTTGGCCACGGACTGTTCCTCCAGGCTCCCTCTGTGTGAGGAGGGGGACAAAGGCTCACAGGCACTCATGGACAGCCAGTGGGGTCGCCTTGCTGGAAGGCAAGCTGCAGGTCTTTGAGAACATTGCGTCTGTGCTGAGCAAGGAGATGGTTGCCTCTTGGCTGAAGATTGTGGCATTCCGGAGCCAGAGCGGCCTTGACCAGGATATGATCCATGGCTTGGAGCTGAAGGTGAGTGGGTAGGGAAGGATTGTGGTTGGATAGTGGGGAGCAGGGGCTCTGAATGCTTGGAAGAGGCCATAGGTTTGATCTGGGATTGAACCAGGGATCTTCAACAGGCGAAGCTTTTCTAGGGATTCTGCAGCTGGGGTGCCACTTCTGAGAAGCCCCACTCTCTCCTTATTACCTCCCTTGCCTCAGATGGTGGAGGCAACCAAATGCATTCCTCCAATGATCATCTTAACATATGGATAGGAACATATGGGAGTTTTATAAGTGGCCCTTCAAGTACCCCAGTCCTGTGGAGAAGGCCTTTAAAGGTCAAGAGCAGCAGTTTGAACTGGGCCCAGAAAGGAGTGATATAATCGTAGCACTCATTGCTTGAGTGTTGGCATCCTGCTTTGGCTTCAGTTCCCGAACATTGACTGACCTCTCCCAAACATAACCTATTGGATGATGTCTCCTGTGTTTGACAGGTGCAATGGGTGGGGAATGGGACAACAACCAGCAGCCTACCTGCACCTATTTAGCCTCTGGTGCTCACATCCTCCATCCTCCCCCCCTCCTCGCCCTGCTCAATAGGCTTGCATCTCTCAATCCAAAATAATAGTCTTATTTTCTCCAGCGATGCCTTGTGCAGAAAGATGTTGCTTTGAGCAGGTTAGAGCAGAGACTTCTCTCATCAGAGCAAGTGTCCTAGGATGGTGTCTTCCTGTGGAAGACTACGGATGTGCATCAGAGGTGCTACAAAAATGTGTGTGGATTCCATTCTCCCAATAAAAATTTGACTTCTTGTGTGTGTTTGTGCAAATCCACACTGTACTTAAAGCACATCCTACATGCATTTGAAGCATCTGACTTCCCCCAAAGAATCCTGGGAACTATATTAAGCTTTGTGCCCATTCTTCAGAGCTGTATTGTATCCAGGCAGCTGGATCTCCCACCTCTGGCTTGCTTCATTTCCCTGCTTTGCTAGGCTGCTTCTGTGAGGGCTGGTTAAGTGGTGGCAGGAGGCATGGATAGGAAAAGTGGCTGCTCACTTGCCAGCAAAACTCTCTGGAGGGTCCCTAAGCTGGGGAACCCCAAACCACCCTGATCTGAACAAAAATGCAGGCGCTGGGAACAAAATTAGCAAGGCAGAAGACAGAGTGATTGGGTTAAGCAGCTGTTCAGCTTGGCTTCATAGCTCTGCCTCCCTGAATCCTAACAACTGTAGTTTAAGGGTGCTGGGCATTGTTGCTCTGTGCAGGGGGAAACTACAACTCCCAGGATTCTTTGGGGTGAGTCACATGCCTTAAATGTGTATTTGTATGCCATTTACATGTATGATTAACAAGAAGAGACAACTGTTCCATCCATGATGTCACTTGCCCTTTGCAGTTTTGGCATGTATTAAATACAAGATATAAAACTGTGTTGGAATCTGCTACCTATTTACCGTATTTACGCAAATCTAATGCACCACCAAATCTAATGCACACCCTAATTTTCACGACGTAATTCGGCCAAAAAAGGTGCGCATTACATTTGAGTAAATATGGTAATCGGGGGCTACAGATAGTAGAGAAATTTGGTTTGATGTGCATTTTATTCAAAACCTATCTAATTTGCACACTTCCCAAAACAAATTTTAAACTAAAATGATGCTTCCCTGCAAAATTCACACATGTGAGTTTTGCAATGCAGTTCTCCAACTAAACATTTACCCAAAAGCATATATTAGGAGAAAGTGTGCATTAAGATGCATGTAGTACTGAAGATAACTGCAGAAATACATCACCTTAGGAAATATTCCTCGCCCCCTCAACCCCCCCAAAACCCCCAACGCACCATGTGTATTATTAGGATATATCCACACTAAAAAAACCCAATCAGTTTTCATGAGGGCTTCACTCATTGCCACCTGTGGCAGAAATGTGGAGAACTGAATTAAAAAGAGAGAGAAATAAATGAGAAAGTGAGAGAAGCTGAAAGGGACAGATTCATCTATTCCTGCTTGGGGATGCCTTTTAGTTCATTGCACACACCCCCATTTCCCCCCAAGGAATTCAAAGTGGCACACATGGTTTCGCCCTCCTTATTGAATCCCCACAGCAACCCTGTGAGGTGGCTGAGATGCAGTGACTGGCTCAGGGTCACCCAGTGATGGGCAAATGGGGGATTTGAACCCTGGTCCCCGAGGTCCTGGTCTGACACTCTAGCCACTATGTCACACTGGCTCTGGGCTGTGGCCAATGCCAGTAGACCCACTGAATTTAATGGACACTAGTAACTTAGGGTCATTAATTTCAGTGGGTCTGCTCCAACTTAATTGGATTCAACTCAATGAGATCTGGAATAGGTGAGCTCTGGTTGCAGCCCGTCTCTATTTTTCTTTATCTGAAGAGGATATGTGTGACTTTTTGGGCTGGTGCTTAACTCCCAAGTTCTCCAGCATTCTACACTTAGCAATATGGCGACAAGCTCTGCATGAGGATTTACCTGAATGGTGAAGGGAGAAACACACCTCTCACTCTTTCTGGTGCTACTGAGAGGTGACCATGATGCTGTTCTGCAGTGGCCTTTTGTCCACAAGGTAAGGCTCCTTCCCTACCCCACCCCTGGACAGCCTCACCCTACAGGGCACAGCTGGCACCAGGGGTCAACATCATCTCCTGTTAGCCTGCTGCTGGTCCACAGAGCCTCCTGGCCCATATCATCTTCCGCCCTGCTGTTGAGGGTTAGAGGGAGGGTGGTAGGGGGCTGGTACCCAGTGGAACTGGTACTGCAGAAGGCAGGGAGCACATCAGTAGGTGGTGCCAGAGCCACTGGCAGACCAAGCAGAATAATCCTGGTCTTGCCCCCATCCTCTTCCTCTGGGTCTCTAAGGGTAGAATCCAGTGGCAGACTTATTTCAGCAACAACAGAACAAGCAATTTGAGTCAAATCAATGAAACTCAAAATTGTGTTTACTAGACCCATTTTTAATAATAATAATAATAATAATAATAATAATAATAATAATAATTTTTATTTATAACTTGCCCTCCCCAGCCAAGGCCAGGCTCAGGGCAGCTAACAACCAATAATAAGAATGAGTTGAATGAATACAACTTAAAAACAAGATTAAAATACATTAAAACATTAAAACAATTAAAATGCAGCCTCATCACAGGAGGAGAAAGGAAAAAGAAAGAGGGGGAGGGAATCAAATTGGCTCCAAGCCAAAGGCCAGGCGGAACAACTCTTTCTTACAGGCCCTGCGGAAAGAAACCAGATCCTGCAGGGCCCTGTTCTCATGAGACAGAGCGTTCCACCAGGCCGGAGCCAGTGTTGAAAAGGCCCTGGCTCTGGTTGAGGATAATCTAACTTCCTTAGGGCCTGGGACCTCTAGGGTGTTGCTATTTATGGATCTTAAGGTCCTCTGTGGGGTATACCAGGAGAGGCAGTCCCGTAGGTACAAGGGTGCTAGGCCGCAAAGGCCTTTAAAGATCAAAACCAGCACCTTAAATCTGACCCTGTACTCCACCGGGAGCCGGTGCAGCTGGAAAAGCACTGGGTGAATATGCTCCCATGGCAGGGACCCCGCGAGGAGCCTCGCTGCAGCATTCTGCACCCGCTGGAGTTTCTGGGACAGCGTCAAGGGCAGCCCCACGTAGAACGAATTACAGTAGTCAAGCCTGGAGGTGACCGTCACATGGATCACTGTGGCCAGGTCGCAATTTGCCCCTCCAGGATTAGGAGCCCTGAAGCTGAAGCTTCATTAGTTTTGTAGTAGACCCACCCCTGTCAACATCAAGACTAGGAGGAAGCTGATACCCAAGGCCACCCCTTGGACTGGTTGCAAGAAGCCATGCAGGTGGAGTCTGGCTGAGGGCAGGCTGAGATTGGTGAGACACCATATGAGGTAGTTGCTACTGAGTGGAGTACGATAATGGTCCTTAGCCCTTTGTCCCCTTTGTGCATAGAGGCAAATCTATCAATGTTGGTTTCTCACTTTCTTCCCGTTCAGCTTGTCACATCTTTGCACCAGTTTGCAATTTCCCCCCCAAAAGAAATAAAGTTGTTACAGAAACCCTTCACATTTTAGAGCATTCCCCCCCTGCTAATATACACAAATCCCAGAGTGGTTTAACAATCAATCCCTCGTCTCAGGGAACTCTCTGAATTTCTAGCTAACAGTGCTTAAGACCCTTAACAAACTACATTTCTCAGGATTCTGTTGGGAGAGAGGCCATGGCTATTAATGCGATATCATAATGCTTTAAAAGCATAGCAGATGTGGCCCTGATAGCTGTTTACTAGCTCCAGGATCAGAGGCAGCGTGGCTTTGAATACCGGCTGCTGCAGATCGTGAACACGAGAAGGTCATTCGGGTGTGGGTAGAAATCCAATTCACTTCGCATTATAATGCACTTTCCAGTACAATACCTGAACTGAAATACAGCTATCCTTTGAACTCACATATCTCTGGATCATGTACTGCAGACCAAATGATGTGTACAAAAAAAGAATATATGGGGTGGAGGAGAGTGCATTGAAATGCACATATAAATGAAAAAAACAACAACCAAAAATGCATTATAGAAATTGCTCATGTTAGACAACATTGCCTGTATAAATGCATATGTTAGGAGAGATTGGTGTCAAAATGAGGACAGGTTTTCACAAGGTTTCCTTTCTTAAATTTACTTATTTATTACATTTACATGCTACCTTTATCTTCCAAGGATCTCAGGGTGACTTACATGGTTGCCCTCCCGGTTTCATCCACACAACAACCCTGTGAGGTAGATTAGGCTAAGAGATGATGACTGGCCCAAGGGCACCCCGTGAGCTTCATGGCTGAGTGGGGACTCAAATCTTGATCTCCCAGGTCCTAGTCCAACACTCTAACCATTACACCACCAACAACTGTTGGAGGAATGTGGAGAACTGAATTTAGGACTAGATAGACGATAAATTGCAAGAAACTGAAATTGGCAGGTTCGTTATGCTTGAGTGCTGTTGCTCTCAGGTGCTAATTGCAGACTTGCCTGAGGCTTATTGTTAGCCTGAGAACAGGATGCTAGACTAGATAAATGGGACTTAGGTCAGATCCAGCAGGGCTCTTCTTATGTTCCAGCTTCAATTGGACTGGATCATGTCCATAGTCCAGTACATTGCTTGAATAATCAATTTGAGTGTGATCTTGCTACAGCTTCCCTTGCCCCCCCTCTTTTGCAGGAAAGTGTTCAGATGGGTTCTACTTAGCTTTAAAATGTTTCGTGCAGTCCTCCCCCACCTACTACCCAGCCTGCTTATCTTTCCATTTGCTGACCTTGAGATGTGTGGGAAAGGCGTCTTGAATGAACACCTGATCATTGCATGCATTTACTTATCAACAAGTTTCTGTTTTGCCAGCCTCCCGTAATGGGGACCTAAATGGGCACTGTGGGAACAGGAAACTGGGCTAGATGGGCATTTGGCCTGATCTTTCAGGGCTCTTCTTATGCTCTCATTGTTACTTTATTAAAGGTGAGGAAACATAGTTTAGAGGAAAGGGTAATCATATGAGGAGTACAAAATTATGCATGGTGTGGAGAAAATAGAGCAATATTTAATTCCTCTGTCATAACACTAAAAGGTAAAGGGACCCCTGACCATTAGGTCCAGTCATGACCGACTCTGGGGTTGTGGCGCTCATCTCGCTTTATTGGCCAAGGGAGCCGGCATACAGCTTCCGGGTCATGTGGCCAGCATGACTAAGCCACTTCTGGCGAACCAGAGCAGCACATGGAAACGCCGTTCACCTTCCCGTCGGAGCGGTACCTATTTATCTACTTGCACTTTGACGTGCTTTCGAACTGCTAGGTTGACAGGAGCTGGGACTGAGCAACAGGAGCTCACCCCGTCGCGGGGATTCGAACCGCCGACCTTCGGATCGGCAAGTCCTAGGCTCTGTGGTTTAACCCACATAGACATCCAATGAAGCTGAGTGTTGGAGAATTCAGGACAGATGCAATAAAATATTTCTTCACACAGCATAGAGTTAAACTATCGAATTCACTTGCACAAAAAGGCAGTGATGGCCACTAACCTGGACAGCTTTAAAAGAAGATTAAACAAATTCATTGAAGATAATGCTATCAGTGGCTACTAGCCATGTTTTCTATGTTCTTCCTCCACTAACTGAGGCAGGATGCCTCTGAAAAACAGTTGCTGTGCATCCCTAGTGGGGAGAATGCTCTTGCTTTCAGGTCCTGCTTGTGAGCTCCTCATGAGTATCTGGGTGACCACTGTGAGATGAGAACAGGATGCTGGAGGAGATGGACCACTGGCCTGATCCAGAAGGCTTTTCTAATGTAATTATATATCCCTGATCTAGCAGGGCTCCCCCCGCCCCCCCGCCATTCCTATGATCTTACATTTGAGTTCGTTTTCCTTCCAACCTAACCTGTTCTTTGCTGTCTCACAGGTAACCTTTACATTACTTGGTCAGAATGATGGAGACCATCTTGTCAATACTCTCCACCCAGATCTAGAGTCTTCTTCCTTTCAGAAGCCTGCGGCTGATATGAATGAGTCAGTTGGCTTCCCCAGGGTTGGTCCTTTGGCCAAACTACATTCTCTGAAACATGCCTATTTAAGAGAGGGCACTCTGTTCCTCAAGTGTGCTACAGAAGCCAGATCATGAAAAGTTCATGAAAGCAGAGGCAGATGACAAAACCGACGGCTGGGGGACTGCATCAGAAACATATCATGGAGCTTAGGACTGATTTGCAACTGCATGGCAAGAGAGCAGATTTGAGCACTGCAGTTACACTAACAGGGATGGTAGCAATGTGAAGCAATGTGCTTTGGGTTTCAAATAAAGTCACTCAGATTCAGAAAGAGGTAGACTCCACCGTGGGAGCACGGCCGGGGTGGGAGAGTGCTGGAGTCCTGTCTAGTCAAGTTGCATGGGATCAATTCCAATCTGTTACCCCCGAGGATGTGGACAGGCTGCTTGGACAAATGAAACCAACCACATGTCTCCTTGATCCTAGCCTTATGGGAAGGGTGGGGCGATGCCTTATTGACCCTAATGGACCAGCCTCCACTGCTAACCTCAGTCTCATACAGGGCTTCCAAGTGGCTTCCCATAAAAGAAACTGACCTTGTCTATGCCTACATATCTTAAACAATGCTGGATGTCCACCCTAAGTTTACCTTATACAATTTCATACAGCTGAAGTTAAAGAGGAAAGCTGAGAAAAGATGAAAGCAGAAACAATAACAACTTTTAAATTTCTTATTAAACTTCTGAATCACCAAAACAATTTATAGTGATTTTTATCTCATTCTTTCTCAAAAAAAATTTCTAGCCCAGTGAATAGAGGGGCCACTCAGGGTGTTATACAGCTTTATTGTTACTCAAAAGAAACTAAACCACTTCTGCTGGCGTGTGCCTGCTTGCTTTTGCTAACAAATGTTCCAAAAAGCGATCTCTTGGTTCTCTAGATAAAGAGCAGGCTAACAGATAATGAATGATGTCTTCCAGCTGAGCTTAACCACAAAAACAAAGTCAGTCTGTGTTATGGAACCTGGTTGTATTGGCCATCCAAGACATTTCTTAAGGAAACTAATGAGAGTTTGGTTAGATAACTAGTTCTAAAATGCTCTGTTCTCAAGATATATAATAATTGCTAATGAATTGTTAATAAATTGGCTGTCTCCAATTCAGTCCTACTCAAAGCAGATCCATTAAAATGAATTTATTAGTTTCAGTTGGTCTATTCCGAGTACGACTGACATTGGCTACATCCTTTTCTCTCTCCAGCCTAGCTTCTTCTACCTTGCTCTGGATGGATATAAAAAAAGAACTTATATCACTTTTGTTCAGAATAATTGAATAAACCTTATAAACCAAGGTTGGGAGGTAAACAAACCCTAGCTGGGAAATGAATGCTATCTATAAATTAAGAAGCACTGGGGGCAAGTAAATTAAAAAGCTATACCAGAACATTTCTACTTATTATCAGTGATGGCCAAGATAGGCTGCCATGGAAACTGAGTGACTCTAACTCTCAGGACAACCTTGTGGGGCCCAGCTGCTAGAATAACAACTGGCGAACCAAAAATCCAATTTGCTGTCTTTTTTGTCTTCTTCAATCTTTCAATCATCGGAGCCACAATTGAACTTGTGGGGGTGGGCGCAGGAATTAATAGGCAGCAGGTTGAAGTATTTACATGGCTCTGTTGAGTAGAATAAGAACATCAGAAGGGCCCCGCTGAATCAGACCAAAGGTCCGCGTAGTCCAACATCTTCTTCTGATTGGGACACAGGTGTCCCAATCAGAAGCCTGAGAGCTGATCCTGAGTGCAAAAGCAACTCTTCCCATTTGTGATTTCCAGCAGTTGCCTCTGAAATTGGAGGTAGAACATAGCCTTTGTGGCTGGGAGCCACTAATAACCTAGGTAAAGGTAAAGGGACCCCTGACCATTAGGTCCAGTCGTGGCCGACTTGCGCCCATCTCGCTTTATTGGCCGAGGGAGCCGGCGTACAGCTTCTGGGTCATGTGGCCAGCATGACTAAGACGCTTCTGGCGAACCAGAGCAGTGCATGAAAACGTTGTTTACCTTCCTGCCAGAGCGGTACCTATTTATCTACTTGCACTTTGACATGCTTTCGAACTGCTAGGTTGGCAGGAGCAGGGACTGAGCAACGGGAGCTCACCCCGTCGCGGGGATTCGAACCGCCGACCTTCTGATTGGAAAGTCCTAGGCTCTGTGGTTTAACCCACAGCGCCACCCGAGTCCCTTTACTAATAACCTAATCCCCCATAAACTTGTATAATCTGCTTTTAAAACCACCCAGGACAGTGGTCTTCACTGCCTCTTGTGGAACTGAATTCCGTAGTCGAACTTTCTTCCCAGGGAACTCTGGGAATTGTAGCTCTGTGAGGCAAATTGTGGTCTATCAACTCTTGGCACCCTGAATAAACTACGTTTCCCAATATTCTTTGGAGGATGCAATGTCTGTTTAAAGTGATACAATACTGTTTTAAATGTATTGTGCAAATGAGGCCTTGGACAAATCACTTTGTTAGCTTTGTGCAAAGTCATCTTGAGGATCCCCAACTCTCTGCCATTTGCTCCTTACTCACAAGTAAGGTCACCTTGTATGTAGCTTCCTAGCTCCCAGGGAAAGTGCCAGACCATGATAATTGCCAGTGTCAGGTTTATGCACAAGCAAGGTAAGCTATATTTTAGGGCCTTGGGTTACGAGGGTCCTCTAGATTAAAAAAATAAATAAATAACATCCTTAATTTTTAGTTCTATAACACTAGTTACAAAAAATAATGGAAAGGTGGGGAAACAGACTCTGAAACAGGCATTATCATTTTGGTACGGCAAAAAGAACTCCTAATTGCTACACAATTATTGGTCATATCTGTGCAGAAATATGAAATATGCATTAGGCTGGGGATCCATAAGCTGTCAAACAGAACCAGCGGCCGGTTCAGGCTAAGGGGCTCTTTCAGCCTGGTGCGGCTTGGGGCCTCAGCATGTCTCAGTCTGCTCCTGACCAATAAAAGGTAAAGGGACCCCTGACTGTTAAGTCCAGGCGTGGACAACTCTGGGGTTGCGGTGCTCATTTTGCTTTACTGGCCGGGGGAGCCGGCATTTGTCCGCAGACAGCTTCCGGGTCATGTGGCCAGCATGACTCAGCTGCTTCCGGTGAACCAGAGCAGGGCACGGAAATGCTGTTTACCTTTCCGCCGGAGTGGTACCTATTTATCTATTTGCACTTTGATGTGCTTTCGAACTGCTAGGTTGGCCGGAGCTGGGACTGAACAACGGGAGCTCACCCCATTGCGGGGATTGAAACCGCCAAACTTCTGATCGGCAAGCCCTAGGCTCTGTGGTTTAGACCACAGCGCCACCCACATCCTGACCAATGTTCATCTGTAAATAGCTGCAGTAGCAGCTGGTGCTCACTGAAACTGGTAGGGCAGAAGGCAGGGAGCCCAACAGTAGGTGGCACCAGAACCAATGGCAGGTAGAACCTACTCATTCTAGATCTGTCCCCATCTTCTTCCCTGTTGAGTTCTACAAGGGCAATACTGGGACCAATTTAGAGGAAGCTGACAGGCAAGGCCAATCCCTGGACTGGTTTGCAAGTTGGTGGGGGCTCGCAGAGTGCAAGCTGAGGTTCGTGAGGCAATGTCCCATTTGCCATACTGGATTAGCCCACAGTGAGCCTACCAGGCCGAAGCTTGCTCCCCATCCATCTATTGCATTTCCTATGTGCCTGTATTGTGCAACTGCCGAAAAGCATGCACAGAAAGTTCCCTTCCAAGGAAACAGAACCAAACTGGGGGGGGGGTGGATTGCATTTGCGTTAAATAAACACTCAAAAGGGCATGTCGAAATGATCTCCTTTAAGCAGGGCCTGGTTGGCAGCTGCAAGTGGAATATCTCCATTTAACGACCTAGGATCTAATCCGAACCATCATTCATTGGGCTCATTGCGCCTTTGTGGTCTTTAATAGGCTCTGAAAGAGGAAGTTGTGACTGGCAGAATGCTGTTTTCGCAGTGCTTCTGCTGGGCCCATCTGGAATGCATTGGACGGTGGCACATTCCAAACACACACTTTTCACATCTAAAGCTCTTGCTTCCATGGACCTACTTGGATGGTGGACTCATCTGGGAGAGCTTGGTTTTCTCAGCTGGGCTGTGGGTGGACAATGGTTTGGGTTGACATGGGGTTCACATGCTGAGATTCAGGGTAGAGTCTGACAGGTCAAGGGATGGTTCTCATGATGCAGGTCCAAAGTCAAGTGGCACCTGGAGAGGAGTTGGGGAGGATCTGTCTGTACCTACTGGTTTGGGTGTAGAGCAGTGGTTCCCAAATGTTTTCAGGCTACTGCCCCCCCCCAGCTTCCATAAACTAATCCCATGTGAATCCCACCCATATCCTATAAAAAGCATTATTCAGAATTGCCATTTGCACAACCCATTAAGAAAGATGATAACACAATAAAATTCAAAGCACATTTATTCAAAATCCAATTAAAATGATTTAGTTTAATTACAGTGGTACCTCAGGTTAAGTACTTAATTCATTCCGGAGGTCCGTACTTAACCTGAAACTGTTCTTAACCTGAAGCACCACTTTGGCTAATGGGGCCTCCTGCTGCTGCCGCGCCGCCAGAGCACAATTTCTGTTCTCATCCTGAAGCAAAGTTCTTAATCTGAAGCACTATTTCTGGGTTAGCAGAGTCTGTAACCTGAAGCATATGTAACCTGAAGCATATGTAACCCGAGGTACCACTGTAATTCACCAAGACTGATGGAACTGATGCAGTGACGCCAGCTTTTCAAAGTAAGATAGTCATTTTCATCTTCAGAGTCCTACAGCTTCACCCTTGCCTCTTAGCACCCTCCTGGGTAATCCCACTGGCCCCCAGGGGCACCACCACCCACTCTGGGAACTGCTTGTGGACATGGAAGGTGTCCGGGACTAGGAGCTGGACTCCTCTTCATCAGGTGATGGAGGAAAGGACTGGAAACCAAGCCTTATGAGGAGGAACAGTTTAAAGATCTGGGTATGTTTTTCCTGGAAATGAGGAGACTGAGAGGAGAAGTGATAGCTGTCTTCCACTGTCTCAAGGGCTTTCACATGGAAGATGGAACAAGCTTGTTTTCTC